AGTCACGAGCTCAAACCTCTTCCCCAGTCAAGCAACGAATGAACCAGGAGTGTTTTTATTTTATGCCTTGTCGCGTATTTTCATGAAAGCGATCATTTTTCGGATCAATTATGATACACCGAGGGTGTCAAAGTTTTGAATTTTACGCAGTCGGCCATAAGGAAATTAGTTGCCTCTACTGATCGTCATTTTATATCAACCCGAAATAGCAAATCGTCCTGATTATACGATTTTTGTCGTCAGTCTGTAGCCTATCACGAACCCGCTCAACAACTTAACATTGGGGACAGCTATAGAAACTAACATTACGATGAAATGATCCCTAAAACTTGGAAAAAATGCTCCATTACTGCGTAGGTATTCAGATTTACTGTCTTGCCCGCGCTTTTTTAGTCACAAGAACGGAACGACGGGCAAGCGTCTAGAAAGAGCTCCCACAGATAAACATATTTTGTAAATTTCAACTGCCAACTGGAGAAGGTTTTTTAAATATAAAACTTAACGTTAAACTATCTGAAATTGAATAAATCAAAGCTGAAATTAACACGTTCATGTAAAGTTCATGATTATACGCCCAAGTAACAATTCAGTAACCATTTGGCATCCACTCTGATTTATGATGGTTTTATAACGGCAATGAACAAACCATTTAGTATAAATACAGTATTTCAAAGTGTAAAACATTCCTGCTTAGTAATTTAGCTTTTTGCTGTTTTAAAAATCTTTTATAGTCTGGCTATGTCATGGCCAATTGGCCCAGTTTTAATGCATTCGTTAAAACTTGATATGCGAACTACCTTAGAAGCATAGGTTTTATGTCAGTTTTATCATACTCTATACGTGGTTGTTAAAAATGAAAACATTAAACCTCCTCTAGGTCAGAAAGTTTTAACAATCTTTTGATAACTACCATAAAACTATATTACAACCGCATAAATCACTCCGGAAGAAGTTGATAAAACATGATACGCAAAACATTTTGACAACATTGAAGGTTTTAATTTGGGGTTTTTGGATGATAGTTAATATTGAGAAATATTTTATTGTGGTTTTATTCTTTCGATGTTTGATGTCAAATCATAATCCTTGTCAGTTTGTAATAATAGTTGATATTATTGTATATTGAAAATAAGACGGCTTTATCACAACTTTGAACCAATCTGTATATGCTTCAGAGCATGCCGTGCAATATTTATGGTGATTATATACCAAATAGGAGCATACATTTAGTGCCCCATATGAATTCTAAAATATAAGGATATTTTTAATTTGTGTGCATTAGCACCATGCATTAAAAAGTCATTAAAATATTATCTATTTAGTATAAAACTGTTACTACTGTTGAGTCACATGTTATTTAATTATGCATAGATGTATGAAAGGGTTTTATCGCCTATCAATTAAAGCGTAATTATTCATACTGTGTGAAATTTGTTCATACGGCGACATTTTTTTTTTCGTTATAACTTGCTACTCCTTTAAAATACCTCAATATAATATATTCTCCTAGATTAGAATTCTATAGCATAACATAAATCTAATGGTTGTATCTTAGCATTTCGTATTCTGCATTGAGAACGTTAAGTTATATTTAAGCTCTATAACAAGCTTGCTGGTTTTATTCGGTACAGCGAATCAAAACAAAACAAAAACCATGGCAACTCCTATTTTCTCTTGTAATCAAGATGTAAGAAATGCTTATTGGATCCACAAAAAGCTTTTACAATACAAAGTGTAAAGCCGTGATGCAAATACTGGCCATCTCCAACCGGATTTAGTGAAACTGTCTGCGTTGTTTTAAGAAGGGTTCGTGGATCTGTCGGAAGTGTATCGGAAAGCCGCTTATTCAATATTTTTAAAAGCTCATTCACCGCACTGTGCCTTATGTTAAATGAGGGAGCCCATAACTGTAGATACTTCAGGAGTTTCATAGTGGCGATTGTCTCATCTTCATCGTGTTCAAAAGCACTGAAGGGGTTTTTATTTCATGTATCTGAATAGATTCGTTTTTTTTATATTGGTAATAATTTGCAGAGTATTTTTTGTTATTGTTGTAGTATATTTCTTATCTGTGAATCTTAGGCCTCTGATAAAGATGATAGTTGTAATGAGGTTTTGATGAAGGTCTAAGACTGCTTCAAGTTTTATATCGGTCATTAAAAGTATGCCATAAAACATAATTGTATGTTTTGTTTTGGTTTTATTCTGCAGTTATAAGTAGTGATACAGAGCCACCTTACAGCTACCGTTAAAACTATGAAGTCTGAGTTTTAAATTAGTAGTCATAAAAAAGTTTTATATTCCACTTGACGGCCTGATTTTATGACAAGCACACAAAACCGTAATACAACCACAGGCTGCAAGGGATGCAATGATAAAACAATGATAAAATAAGAATAAATCTTCCAAGCATTTAGATTGTTACTTGGGGTGTTCTATCATTATAAAAGCAACCATAAAACCATTAGGTTTAGCATTAGAGCAAAAAGCATTTATTTTTGCTTTTTAGGCGTTTTAAAGTGCATCATAAACTCCCCAATTACTCCGTTCACAAATTGAGCTTAAAAGATGGTTCCTCATAGTTAATAAAAGTCAAATTTATGACCAGGAAATCTCGAAGGTTGAAAAATTCAAGTCGATTTCAGCAAAATTTACTTCTCCAGCACATCATCAACGACTGACCATCTGACGGAGAAGAGTAAAGTGAGCGGGACCTCGAATTCATAAAACATTGTCGAAAGTTGAAAAACATACCAGCCTTCTTCAGATCTTGCGAATAGATGACAATCGAAATAACAACCGACAGCAAACCACTGAAACTGTTAGTTAGCGGAGATTAGCTGGTTTCCGATCCATAGCAGCGATTTTATTCGGCGAAAGAATCAACTCTTCGAAAATTTCATTCAAGCGTACATCCCTGCATCGTTGGATGGTGCACTTCTGTAACCATCCGGAAGAAGGGGATCTTTTTCGCTTCGAAATGTGAAATGTTGCAAAACAGTATCGCAAACTATCTGAGTAACTGCTCCCACTCCATCGGTAGAAAACTGCCTGGAAGAACCCTGCATCGCACAGCGCAACTAAATATCGAAAGATAAACAAACTTTCACGTTTAACTTTTTGCAGGCAACTTTGCCTCCATAAATGCTGCCATAAATTCATACTGTGATCAAGCAAAATGGCTTTAGATAAATACAATTTAAGCTGCAAGTTTGTTTCATAGAAGCCATTTTAAAACCTTATGAATTTGTTAAGGATTTCTTGAAAGCAAAACAACTTTTTCACAAATGACCCATGAAAATCAACTTTTATGCCACCGCCATGTTACAATTAGTTTGCTTGTTTTTTACAATCTTCAATTTTCAATCTATAGTTTCTTGGATATAACTATATTATTGGTAAATTTAGCAATGAGCAAACATTTGAATGCGAAAATCATAAAAACAAAAATCTTGCCCTCCTCGATCTGAAGAATAATTTTTTTTTTCAATTAAATAAATAGTCAAATTGATGCTTTACGAGGGCGGACGTATTTTTTATTTTCGATGTTTTCACGTGCATTTCACATAAAATTTAATAAGGCACTTAAAACTAAGCCACTTAATGAGAACTATTGTAACTAATTTGAATATTCAACAAGATTTTTATACCATCAGTTTCTATTTTAATTATTTTGATAAGATCGGATTCATAAATCATTTTCTATCTTGATTAATGCTTTCCTGTTGCAAGCGGCTAGGGGAAAAAGCTCGGAAATAGTTTTTATTGTTGCTAAATAGCTTTTGTTGTAGATTTCAAATGGTTCTCAATGCGTTCGTCATACAACCTTTTGCAGTAAATCAATCTTGAAGAGCTTCGAGAATACACCCTTCAGAACCTTCTCCAGGGTGGGCCAACTAGACATATTCTAGTCTTAATGAGGTTTTGGTGGATGCATTAATGACAAAATAGCCTGTTGTTTTATAGTTGCTTTGTAGTATTTCATAAAACTTAAAATGTTGCTAGGGCGTCATATTAGAAAATGGGGAAGTTGTCAGTCTTTTTGATATGATGTCTTCACATAAAGTTCAATCGCTACTCTAACGCTCGACCAAAGTTTAATTAATTTAAGTTTTCCTGTAGACCTTCTCAAATAATAAACCGTTGTCATTAAATTTCAGTTGAATCATCCTATTTATGCCTTTTTCTTTAAATGTTGTTTTCAGTTGCTTTTAAAAGAAAGTGAAATTTGAATTCATCGTGCAACATAAACAGTTTGCGAAGCTTTCTCTTACATAAACTAGGCTTGATGCCCAGTGTCTAGTTTTTCAATACATAAGTTATGACGTTTGGCAAATTGGTCCGCGCCACCTCCCCCTGCCCTCTGCCTGCTAATCAAACAACACCCCGTTCACTTGGGTAAAGATCGTTAAACGTGTCTCAGTTTAATTTAATTTGGCCAAAATAATAACCACTAACTTTACCTACTGCTGAGACAAACGTCTATAACGGCGGTATACAACCTATAAGTCTATGGCGCTTTACTCGAAGTAACATTGTTTCATGTATTTCCGCGGCCGGAACCCCGGTGAACCGACCCTGCGCCATTCCACGCCCATCGTATAAAGAAATTAAATTCATTTGGCGTTTTCAGTGCGGCCACCGGTGCTGATGGTGGCAGTTCAACAACTGGTTCCAGCTGGAGCAGAACCACGCGCAGCCAAAGGAAAATAAATGAAAAACCATCCACGGTTAGTTAACGGATTTTGTATGCTCTTACTTTCTTCTAATAATCTTAGACGATCGGCATAAAGCACAAGCGCCCGGAAGGTGTGAAAATCGTAAGTCTGGTCTTTAAAGAGAAATAACTGAATTATTGCCGCGCCGGTTGCTGTAGATCAGTGCCGAAAGGCGAATCGAAATGAATGCACTGTTACAACGTGTGACCTGTTCGTTTCAATGAGTTTGCTATTATGATCTTTTCAATCATGCCTTGTGATATCTAATAAGTTAACAGGATGTGACTAAATATTCTTCGCATATATTAGTAGAAAAGTCTGTTTGACAAACTCTATGACACTCAACATCGAATAATTCAAGATTTAAAATCTATATGACACAACTTATGATTTATCGTATACCAAAATGCATTTACTCCAAACTATGCCACACGGAAATGGCCGACCCTTTGTACGCGATCATCTTCCTCCACTGATCCTGCTTGATCTGATTGCAGCTGGGAGCATTCGGGCCCATAAACACCTGCCCCAAGTAAATCTTCTTCCCGACCTTGCTCTTCGCAGCCAGTGCCACCCGTATCGAAACGTGATCCAAGTTGCTCTCACTGCTCAGCGGGAGCACAATCGTACAGTCCTCCGGATTCCATCGGGTCGACAACGCCGGACGGAATGGTTCCGATTTCCACGTGGCCGATAGGATCTCATGCTCCAAAACCGTCGTCTTCAGGTAGATCTTCTCGCTGACCGCCTCAAAGTCCTCCTTCACCTTGATTCCGCATCGGATTTTGGCGGTTGAAATTTTCAAACACAGCCCTTTCTGATTCTTTTCCTTGTTCTGGACACTTTTAACAATCTTTTTGACACCTTTGAAACTGAACCGGCTCTTGTGAGAATTGGAGCTTGGCACGGGAGATCCGCAGGCGGGTGGATCCTTCTTGAAGCGAAACGGGTTGCTGAGGGAAGACGACGATGACGAAGAGGTAGGCGAGTACGGTCCATCAATGTTGAACGACAGATCCTCTTGAGAGGTTTTCTCACTGTCCAGATGGACATCGGTGTAATCGCACAGCTGCAGGGTTACCTCCACTTGACCTTTGACACTTTGGAAAATCTGAAAATGAACGACAATCAATGGCATCCGGTCTCAACGTGGAACAGAGAATCTTACCGTAACCCGGCTTTCCGCCGGCTGAGTCACGGTGATATCCTTGATCGGTAGCCACATTTCATCGGTTTGGTACAACCGCCCGCGGCACACCTCCTGGAATGCCTTCGGTTCCAGGAAGTACGTCACCGATCCGATGTTCCGCTGGCTTTCGCTTGTGGTCAGTTTTTTGAGGTTTTGCTTCTGGTCAAAGTTGGCAGTTTTCGAATCGGGAGGTTCCACATCCTTGACCAGCTTACCGATGACCGGTTTGTCCTTCAACCGTTGGCTGCCCTGCCGGATGAAGGTCATCGTTTTGTGCTTCAGGGTGGCCTGGAACTGTGGATGAGTTTAAATTTTTGTTAATTTACGCGTAGATTGGTTCGGAAGCTTGGGCGAAATTTTACCCCCGGTGGCAACTCCAAGAGAGCGAATACCGTGAACACGACAAAGTTGCCGCTGAAAAGTTTCTCCGGCGGTGATTCGTCCGGTTTCGCTTTGGACTGGTTTTTCTTCACGCGGAATGAAGATCTGCAAAGGAGGAAAGCAAATTGTGGGAGAACTTTTTTTTTGCAATGCATCTTTCTGCATTCTTCGGAAATATTGGGCATTAGGATTGAAGCAGTTAACCAAAGGATTTGCGGTTTTAGTTAAAAACTTCAAAAACTTACAAGGTGTGTACATTGACGTAGCTAAAAAAAAATACTGGAGGGGGCCTAGGGGTGGAGGGGGGATTTCTGTGTTTTTTTTTTTTTTTTTGTTAAGCTACATAGAGAAACTCTGGAACTGTCATTCAATCAAAAGGCGTCAAAGCTATTTTTTATTTAAGGTTCCTGTTGGATTCATTTCCGCTTCATCCAATTATACGACCAATTATGGCAAAGCTTACCATTATTGTAATGGTGAATATTACATTTTATTGTATTAATTTCATAACAACGTTCCGGGGAGCCTTATAAGCATACTGATTTTGAACAAGCAATGATCGTTTGTTCAAGCTTTTTGTAACGAAATAACATATTGTTCGGATATCATACGGATTTTAAGGATCTCAAATTAAACAAAATTCTCATGAAGAGCTTTGAGTAGGTTGGTTTATTTCCTTTAAATTCCGTTATAATTGCTTATATTTTGACAGATCCGCGTATTTCGTCTGCTACTTGCAGACTTCATCAGTGCCAAGTACTCAACACTACTTGGGACTGATGAAGTCTGCAAGTAGTAGACGAAATACGTGTATATGTCAAAAGATAAGCAATTATAACGGAATTTAAAGGAAATAAACCAACCCACTCAAAGCTCTTCATAAAGGGGTTCCGTTAAGAGGTTCGACAAATTTAAAGGATTGAAAATTCTCATGTTAGATACGTCTAAAGGTTAGATAGAATTTTGTTCCTAGATTTTAATTAAATGATCCATATTTAATCATCAATCAAATCTCAGAAATAGGTAAGAACACTTAATTCTAGGACTTTTCATTTATAATTTAAAAAAATGTCCGGCTTTGAATTATCGCAATGCACAGTGGTCTAGAAAGCAAATTTAGATGGAAAGATGGATTTTGAGCTTGAAATTGAAACTTTAGCTAAAAATTGTCTTAAGCAAAGTTGATGCTATTAGTTAGGCGCTTATTTAAATGTCAAGAGATACTAGGGTGGTCCTTATGATAAATAAAATCAAAAAGTTAACTTTCTTATTTTAAAAGATAGAGACATATGTTTCAAGAAAAAATTGTGGCTTATTAAATTTCAAATAACTTTGAAAAAAAGTTTTAAAAAGGTTGGAAAATAACCGATTTTGAGCAGTTACCTAGGGTGTCTCTAAAAAAATCAGTTATTTTACTCTAACTTTCTTATTTTAATTTTTATGAAAAAGTCGTAACCTAATAAATTTTAGATCTGTTTAAGATGCACATTTTGACGCTAAAGGACGGAAAAATATTAAACCTGTGTAGAGTAATTTTTCAAATACGCGTATCTCTAGTTGGGGCAAACAAAAAAAAATATCTTTTGATTGCATTTGAAAGGACACATTTTGTTTTACCTTGTGAAAAAAAAATTAGACGTATGTTATTTTTTGTTTTGGAGAAATTCAGTTTTGAAAATACCAACGTTTACATATTTTTGTACAAATAAAGTAAATATAAAAAAAAACATATTTTTGTAGAGCATATAGGCCGACCCATACGAGAACAAGCGTTTAAACCGTTCTGAATCAAAATTTCATGCACACATCGTCTTTATATTATATTAAGATTTGCAAAATATGAATCATACTCTTGAAGGCTTTATAAATTCATGCCCACGATATTTGTGTATTCTAGGATACATGTTTAATAATGCGTTCAAAAATGTCTATGGTAGATCTCTAGAACCAATACTAGCAATTCAAGCAATTTTAAAGTCATAAGCAGAGTCAAATTGCATGTTCAACGTAATAAATTGTGACGTATTAAATATCTTGCTTCATCATCAAGAAATAGAGATAAGCTTCATCCCATCCCAAAATCAAGAAAAAGAGATAAGCTTGACGGTCGCAGTTCTAAGTACAAACCAACCGACTTTTTTGGTGCTGCAACCGTTGAAAAAATGCATCCTAATTATGAGAATAGTTCTCTCCCCCTGTGAGAACTGTCAAATTGTTACGAATCTACACGCCGCATTAATGTCCGTGAAATTCTACTTGGATAGCTTGATTGTCAGTACTGGAAAATCACTTACGCAAAATAAAATTCATCAAATCGTGACAGCTCCATAGAATGCCAACCGATCGTGGGAAGAGCCTACTCCGTTTTTCGCCTAATGAAGCTGTATTAGTAATCGAAAAAATAACGCATTAGTGCATTAGTGTGTTAGAGAAATTCTGTCTTGAGAACCTCATAGCAGAAAAGTTAGCTGATGCTCGATTTGTCAAAATAGCTCCAATTGTACTAACCTTTTCTTTACTGTGACTACATTTGTTTTTATCTCGTTTGAAAGCGCTAAAATGGAAGTTCCGCGAAGTGAAATCGTTGAGTTTTGGGTGCTTGGGAGCAGTGATGAAAATGTTATAAATCATTTGCTAGATAAATATCCTAATATTTGTGTCCCGAGTGCTGAAAAAATCATAAGAATTGAAAAACTTAACTATTCGACGCGTTGGATGAAGTGCAAACGTACACTTGCGCGGTTCCAAACAAAAAATGAGAGATGTCTTAAGGGAAAAGTGTTTTTCCCTGCTAAGTATCCGAAAACTAACCTAAAACGACAGTTAAAACCGTTCTCCGAAAGCTCCGACAGGACAAAGAGAAACCGTTTACGAGCGGTTCGAAAATTTTACCACCGAAGAGCTTAGATTTGCAGCGGCATCTAGCGCAAGAGAAGCTGGTCGTCGTCTTGCTGGTAAGATCATAAAAAAAATTTCGGAAAAATCCTAAAGCAGATCCGTCTACATCGTTCGCATCTAAGAATAACGAGGTAGTAGCATTGACTCCTGAAGAGGCTATTGGTTTTATCGTTAGAAACGACCTCAGCAAAGCCCAATATCATGATGTTCGACCATCCTTGAAGTAAAGAAACTTTGCTATCCTTCTGGTATGTAGATAAACAGAAGGGAATGATATAATATTAATTCATTTCATTACCATAGGCATCTCCATCAAGTCGTCCGAAGCGGATGTTGTTCTCCAAGACCTTGTTGACCACACAGTAAAGCGTATTCTTGAGTTCCTTAAATATGATACTACAATACAAAACAAAGCTTTGGTTCTGGTAATGAAATGGGGATGTGACAGAAGCTCGAATCACTCCAGGTTAGGCACTTCTTCACTAAATTTTAAATAATCGGTTGATGATTAGTATAATAAGATCAGTGTTGGCAAAATCAGAAATCAATTGATATTTTTCCGCTCTCATGGGCTCGCAATATCACGCGTGATATTGGAACAAAATATCATGCTTGATGTTGATTTTACAAGCTCCTTTGATATTGCGAGACTATTCACAACGTGCAAACATCAAGCTGAGAGCTGACTCGACACAAACATGATTCTATTGCACATCGTTTTCTTAGAAAGAGAAAGCATACTTTGCTATCTCTTTTTAATCTTCACCGATGGCAGACGCGAAGGGACTGCTGCAAGCCGTTATGGAAGTTTCGGTTGCATTCGGGTGTAAAGCAAAAATCATTAAACTTAATCTCACCACAGCTTGATGAGATTTGCAGTTGGTGAGTTTTGTTAGCTTGATATTCTGAGCTGCGATATCACAGCTTGTAAAATCAACAGCAGTAGTTTGCTTGTTGATTTTTGTCTACGAAAATCAAGCGTGATCTTGGGCGTTGGTGAAATTTCATTTTTTAATATTTTCCCAACACTGAATAAGATTATGACGTATACTTTCTACTTAAGGTTCAATTTACTTTGATACATTTTTTAAAAATTTAAAAGCAGTTTTTTTCTACGCATTCTTTTAGATTGCAAAAAGCTCGCGTCATTTTGTGTAAAATATCAAAAGGAATCGAATAGTGCGAGCTTTTTGCAATCTGAAATAATGCGTCGGAAAAAACTGATTTTGAAATTTTCCAAAAAGCATCAAAGTAAATTGAACCTTAATGCTATGTTTAGTAATTTGCAATGGCAGTTATTATTTTTACTACTTGCTATTTTCCAAGATATTAAAATATAAATAATTACACGTCTCTTTACATAGGTACCATCAAGTTTGCTATGATGAAGATGAGGATGGTGATCTGCGTGAGTATATCGACTCAAATATATTTGCGGTTTCAATCGCTCCATTACGTCTGTCCGAGGAAACCAATGGGGTTCAGCAAATCATATGGAACAATGATTATCCTTCTTCTGTTTGTTTGTGTCGTCCAACATCATTGATCTTTGAAAAAGAGAGTGCTGTTCTCACTAATCGAGTGATTGTGAAAATGAACGCAGAAATTCAAGAGCTTGAGCCGACGAAAGTAGGCTGTATATCAATTATTACAAGAATGTGTTTTACCATGGTCGATACAAAAGTGATTAATGATTTGTTGAGCACGTATTCTCAATCTTGCTACATTTGCCTGCGTAGTGGGAAAAAACTTAACTTAGCTCTAGAAACAGAAGACTCAGTTGACCCACAAAAGTACAAGTTCGGTGTGTCGCCACTACACGCGTACATTCGATCAATGGAAATGTTGTTGAAAATAGCTTACCGTTTGTCCATGCAGACCCCGAAATGGAAGGTTTCCAAGAAAAACTTAGAAGTTTAACAACGCGAAGAACATATCCGTTCAGCTCTCAAGGAGCAGTTGGGGTTACGGATAAGCGAACCTCGTCCAGGGGGAGGCAACTCCAACTCCGGAAATGTCGCAAGACGTTTTTTTCAAGAAAGGGAAGCAGTTGCTAGAAATACAGGGCTTGATGAAAATTTGATGGAGAGGTTTTTCGAAATTCTGACACTGATAAACAGCAAGGCAGAGATTGACGTGGCAGCATACCAAGGGTATGCCGAAGAAACCCGAGTGATGTATAATATTTTATACAGTTGGTATGCGCT